ACACACACACACACACACACACACACCGCTGTTAATACGAGTATTTGATGTAGGGTTTATAAACTTACAACTCCACGATAAAATTAATTCATACTTTACCCACAGGCCACTTGTTTGTGAAAAAAGAAAAAAATTAATTAACTCCAAGGCATCTCTTAAGAATATAGCTTAAAAATAATAAAACAAAAACCAAACACTGCTGCAATAATTTAACTTCTTGTTGCCAAACAAAAAGCCACAGAGCTGAAAAATGTGTCATTGTGAAAATATAAAATAAATAAAATGTGAAACAGTGAAACGTTTAAGCCAGCTGTGTGAACAAATGATGCCTGGTATAAGGGACAGTGAATAAATAGACAAATGGGCTGCCATATAATTAAATTGTTGATTACATGATGCAACTGCTTGCCGTACATTGTCTCCCCTCAGTGCAGCTGTAACAGTCAGAAACCACAGAACAGTTCCAACAAATCTGATTTAAATTAAACCAGTCTTTGCTCCTGAGTTGCTCTAAACCAGCCAGAGTCTGTTTGGTGATCAACTGGTGTCCCGGGAGCCAAATGTGGCCCAAGGGTGATCTCAGGCGGGCCCACCAATTAGTTCAACTAAAATAAATATAGATTTTAAAACAGAGGGGGAAAATCTGTGAGATGAACTTAAAACATATAAATAAATATTTAATTAGAAAGGAGACACTGTTATATGCAGATCCTCTAAAACATATTTACATCCTTCTGTACAAACAGTCTGTTCTGGATGCTCCTGTAGATTTAGACATGTTGATGATTTAACCTCACTTATAGTGTTCTGTATCCATCCCCTGACTTTCAATAAGCTTTTCTCTGAGTTCAATTAGGACACTTTAAAGGGGGTCAAACGTTATACAACATATATTTTAAAATTCATATTACTCTGTAAAAAGTTGATTTAACTTTTACACTGAAGGTTTTTAAATATATTTAGTCATAACATCCAATTTAATTTCTTTATGATTGATTTATGACGGCAATAAAAGCAGGAAACATCCAAGAAGCTGAATAATTTTTATAAACTGTAGATGATCTATGACAGCGATATAYAACTCAGTCCACCTGACAATGAGTTCATCTAAAGAAAAAAAAGATTTTAAATGATAATATAAATTTCTGTAATGGTAGTAATGACTGAGCGTCTTGACACCTGGGATTTATAAAACTGGCGTACGCACAATTTGAGCCCAGAAACTTGCGTACGCCACTTTTCACGCCAAGGTTGTGATTTATAAAATCCAAACTTGACGTGAAAATGTGCGGTGCCTCACAGCTCTGACCCATGCGTGCGCTCTTTTTGGAGATGGGAAACTGCGACACAGATGGTGAAGTGAGGAATTATAGCTGCGTAATGATCACTGTCAGATATTTAATTTCACTTCATAATCAGACTTAGATTTTTATTCAACTTCATCATCAGCTTTCTTAACAGTAATATTTATACTTCTGCTGCTGAGTCATGAGGACCTTTGAAATAATAAGCTTAAATCTTAAAGAAATGTTCCCGCAAGTCCATTCATGTCCTTCCTCCTCAGACGACCCTGACCCACAGACCCCTCCCTGACCCACAGACCCCTCCCTRAYCCAYAGACCCCTCCCTGACCCACAGACCCCTCCCTGACAAGAGACGTTTCAACAGCACAACAGCAAAAGTCACACTTTGGGTACTCGCAGTGGGGTGTCTGTGGGGATGTGTGTGATAACAGAGCAGGCAGGAGGGGGAGAGGAGCAGTGAACTTATTTCTAATTTTATCTGACTTATTTAAATTTTGTTGTTTTTATCGTCCTGCAGGCTCTGAGAGGAAATTAATTTGAAGCTGATTTTTTTTAAATAAAAATCGTTAGATTACTCTAAAGC